GGTCCTTCTGCTTCAGCGGATACGCCCACATCAGCCTGCTCCAGTCATCCACAATTGTAAGAAAATACCGCTCCCCCTTGTGCCCTTGCACCGGCAGCGGCCCCACCAAGTCCATGTGGACCAGCTCCAAAGGCTTCTTGCTCCTGCCAGCCACACTATGGAAAGGGAAACGGGTGAACTTTGAAAGCAAACAGATTTCACAGTTGTCATCGGGTGGCTGTCCGTTCAGCTTCAGACCCTTAACGGCTCCATCCTTCTCCAGCTGCTTCAGCAAAGGCATTGCCACATGCCCTAAGCGCCGGTGTGCCGTTGCCCAATCTGTCTCCCCAGATCTGGTCGACACTTTCACACCAACCCCTCCAACGGCATTGCACTCCCCCTGGGATGCAGACCCCTCTCCAGCCTGCCCCCCACCATGCCACGCCAGGGCCGGCAGCTGCCACATAGATCTGTACACGTCCTTGCTCTCATGCAGATCCCAAAGCACCCGATTGCCCAGCTTCCCCTTATAAGTGCGTGCCCCATCTGTGTTGGTGTTCACCCCAGCCTTGCCAAGCTTACGGAGGGAGATAAGGTTGGCCTTCAGGTCGGGGACGAAGAGAACGTCGTGCAGCACAACCGGCTTGCCATCCGCTCCCTTAAACGCAGCTCGTCCCGCACCAGCCACCTTCAACATGTGTCCAGAGGCGGAGCACACTTCATTGATCGGTGCAGCTCGTACTTCGTCCAGCAGGTCCTTGCGCGGCGTCATCGTCCAAGCAGCGCCTGTGTCCAACACCCAATAGTCTAGGGGGTGCAGCTCTGCTCCAACTTTGGCAGAGGCGTCTCCTTGCTCCCCCTTGTCTCCCACATGGAAGAATTGGCCCGCGGTGCGCTCCTTCTTCTTCTCCGCACCGCCGTTGCCCTTCGGGTTGTTGTCGGACGAATCAGCGACCATGTTGGCGCCGTTTTTCTGGTTCCTCCGCGCGCCGCCATCCTGGTGACGATTCTGGGGGGTCCATCCATCGGGTTTCTTATAGCACAAAAACCAGGGGTGCCCTTCCTTCTCACAATACCAGCAACTCCCTTTCATTTTGCCACCAGCACCCGACTTGCCCCCACGTCCAGATTTCGCACCGCGACCCCAACCGGTACCTCCTTGTTGGTCGTTGGAGTCGTCGTCTTTCTTTGCACCGCGTCCAGCACCACCAAAGCCACGTCCTCTGCCACGTTGGCTCCCTTGCATCCCGTAGCTGCTGCTGCCGTCGTCTCCACCCCTCAGTTGGCGGCGACGGAAGTCCTCCTCCAGAATCTTCGTCCGCACCCACTCGAGCGTCCACAAGCTCTGGTTCTGCGGCAGGCTCAATCCGCTCGTAAATTGAAGCCACGATTCCGGCAGCAGCGAGAGCATCTTCAAGCACTTGGTCTGCTCCGGGTAGGTGATTCCCGCGGTCGCCAACTTCGCGTAGAGGTCGCGCATCTTGTCCAGGACTGGTTGCACCGGCTCTCCCTCGCTCAGGCGCAACGCGGACAGCTCCCTCTCCAGCATCAACGTTGCGACAACGGAGGTCGGGGCGTGCAGCTCCTTCAACACGGTCCACGCCTTCGGACCGCATTCAACCTCCGGCAGCAGGTGCATGACGTGGTGACGCTGGTTCAGCTCCAAACTCTGCGACATCAAATAGTAGCCAGCCGAGGAGCGCTCGTCCCAATCTTCCTGCAGCGTGGGGTCACTCGGTCTAGGCTCCTCCCCAATCATTAGTTTCAGCAAACCGATCTGACGGAAATATAATTGCATTTTCCAGGCCCAATCATCATAGCCCTCACCATTGAACTTCTCGACGGTGAAATTCTTCAGCACCTCCTTGACAAGCGAGCCCTGGTTTGTTCGCGCTCCCCTTGGCGCTGAAAGACCAGAATCTTGGCTGCCGCTACGATCTTGGGCTGAAGATTCACCAGCTCCCGCCGAGGTGTTGCCCGCCATAGCTACCTATAACGAGGATCACTATAACGCAGCTCTGATACCAGCTTGTTGGTGTAAGGGCCTAATAAACTCAAGCTATTAGGACTTAATCAAACTTAAAACCTCTCCTCGGGGTCACCTCCAAGGGTCCCTGGGTGCCTGGTACAAGACCAGCCCCTATCCTCGGGTCCGAGTTTGTAGAGAGAGGGATCAAGAAGGACTTAGTCAAAACAGCAAGAGTACCTTGAACGTCGCGCAGCGTGCCGTGCAGACCGTCGGTCGGATTAAGCTGAGAATTCGCTATATCGAAGCTCGCTCCAAGAGCTTTAAAATGAGCCAAGTTGCCTCGCGAAAAGTTCTGCCATTACTAAGTTATGGCTCGGACAGCGTTTGCCTAGCGTTGGAGTGCTAGCATACTAGCGTTGACTCGGGTAGCATTCCGCCGTCGAATAGCGCAGAAACGAAATTCCAGCGAGGAAGGAATTCGCTTGAATCAATTTGACTATATTCAGGTACAAACAGAGAAGGATTAAATAGTTCTAGCTAGCAAGGACCTTGGGAATCAACCTGGGAACAACCAGGGATGATCCCAAATAATTCCAAGCAACAGAACCAACCTGGCTGGACAAAATAGCAGGTGGTAGGTTGGTAAACAACCTCTGGTTCTGTTTTTCTAACCTGGGAAAACAACAACCAGGTTCAGGTTCTAAAAACAGAACCTGTTTTGTCTTTGCCTAACCAGCCAAATGCTGGTTCCGCTAGTTTCCCCTGGCCTTGTAGCATGCAGATACAGACAAACAACATCCAACCTTCACCTAAATTGTACCCCTATAGTGCCTTCCCTGCTACACTATAGTTAACCAAACAAAACAGTACAATTTCGAGTTGGATAGAACTGAATCTGCGCAATCAACTCAACCGAACTGCAAAGCTTCCATCTTGGGTTCCTTTGCGAGCTCGTCCTTTCTGCTTGCACTGTTCATAGCGCGTACAATGTTGTGCCGAAGCGCACATTGCGCGAGTACCTGCAAATGCATCAAGCGAAAATTGCGAAAGCAAACAAACACACGAACATTCCATTCACACCCAAATGCATTCGCACACGCATACTCGTACAAACAGACGGCAGGATGTCGTGCAATGTAAATTTGCACCCAACACACCATTGGACTGTGGGGTATAAGCCGTGGTCAGCTCCCTCTGGATGCCCTGCTTCTTGAGCCAGGCCGTCATCTCAGCTCCAAGGAACTCACCACCCCGGTCTGTCCTAATCCGCTTCACTACACACTCCGCCTGCTTCTCCACAAATGGCAGCCAATCATCCCGTATCGTGGAGGCAGCGTGGTCCTTCTGCTTGTAGCACTTAATCTTCTTAGGTTTATCCACACCAGCAGCAGAGAGCTTCACATAGAGGTCCCGGAGTTGATCGAACGCTCCTTGTACAGCATCACCCTCGTTGATCTTGACTGCATGGAGTTGTCGCTCGAGCAACACAACCATTGCTTCGCTGCTGGGGGCATGGACATCCTTCGATGTCTTCCATGCCTTGGGACCACACTGAACTTTTTTGATAAGATGCTGGATATGGTGCAGCTGGTTGGATCAGAGGCATTGGGAGAGAAGGAACAATCCATCCTTGCGCCAGCGATCCCATTCCTTGGTCGCTCCTTCGCTCGCAGGCCTCTTCAATTCTCCATCCATCACCTCAAGCAGTCCATAATGATTGAAGAGAACCTCCATCCTGAAGCTCCATGATGCCCAGTCCTCCCCAGAGAATTTCTCCAGGTTGAATGCTTTCACATCATCCTTAGCTGATGTCAATACGGAAGCCATTGGTGCAGATTCGCCTGCAATGTCTCTTCCCGCTTCCCCAGCGCCTCTCACGCCACCACTGCCACTGGGACCAGCTGGAGCAAAAACTTCAGCCTCCACATTCAACCATGAATAGAGTAGAACAGCTCTGATACCACTTGTTATAGTCTAGAGTCCACTTAGGGGTCGCAGATGTCCGTGAAACCTAAGCAAAATCTGATAACTTCGAACCGCCTCTAAAACCGAGACATGATCAGCTCGAATAACATACAAGACTAACACTTTGACAGCAATTAGCTTTCGGTGTCTGCTTTCCAAAGGCATATTGCCTGCTTTTACCAGAAGTGTATGAGCAATGCAATGAACGAAAACGTAAGCTCGATTGAAAACGTGTAGTTTCATTGATGCAAAGAAGAGGTTGTTACAACATTTCTTAGGGGCCTATTAAGGGGTTGTTTCATCCTGGGAACTCAGAGAAGGTTGAGTCCTAGGGGAGAAAGGCTAGAGAAGGCAAATCCAACCACACTTGGATGTTCAGAGCTGTACTCAAGGCTACCAATAGTGAGTCAAGCCAACCATGAGTCAGCTTGTCTTCCCACTTGCACCCTCTTGCAAGCTGCTTCCAGGAAGACCACACTTCTCAGAAGGAGGTTGGTAGAGTCCCACTTGACAACCAATACTTCTTGTCTCATTCTCTGTCCCTGCACCATTGGCATGACAACAATGAAAGGGTGGCAAGGGAAATGATGCCAACAGTGCACTATGACTACGGAACCGTAAGTTTCGACGCCAGTCACGCGCATCTCCGATGCTGGATTGTCATGAAACTTGGTGAGCACCTGCAGAGCGCGGCAAATGGACCTCCACACCAATTTTTAGACCAATCAGAGCTCGTTAGACAAGTCAGCAGCAGAAATTGTGAACTCGGGTGTTACCAAAAAAACAGTAACACACGAGTGCATGAGGTGACGAACTGCTGCACGTCTGCTGCCATCCGAGGCCAGTAGTAATACTTCGCTATTCCTGCTAACGTCTTGTTGCTCCCGAAATGTCCCGCGTCTGGTACGTTGTGAAACTCCTCTAGTAGGATCTGCCGTAGCAGGGTGTAGTTCGGTACCCAAATCTTTCCTGAACCCTTCTTTACCACTATGTCTTTCTCCCACTATAACAGCTTCTCTTTCTCTGCCGCGTCTACAGAGTACCCATGTTTGAATAGACCCTTAAGAAGATGGTTCATCCCTTCGAGCTAGATGCCTGCTACATGGCCGGCGCGGAACAACACGTCAGCTTTGTTGTGTAGCCCGGGTTTGTAGACGATGTCGTAGTGGAAGTGGGTCTCCAAGAAGTCCACCCACCGTACCTGTCGTCGTGAGAGCGTCGGCTGCGACTTCAGGTATTTGAGACTGCAGTGGTCAGTGTAAACTGTGGTCTTGGCTCCCTCTAGGTAACACCACCACGCCTTGAAGGCTACGATAATGGCTAAGGCTTCCTTGTCGTGAATGGGGTAGTTCAGTTCTGCTCCGTGTAGCTTCTTACTAAGGTAGGCGATAGGCTGTAAACCGCGTCCGTGATCCTGCATCAGTACTGCTCCGACTGCCTGGTCACTAGCGTCTGCTTCCACCACGTAGTCCTTGTCTGGGTCCGGTAGGATGAGTACTGGTGCTGTGGTCAGTGCTGTCTGTAGCTGCTCCATGGCTTGCTGATGAGGAGTATCCCATTTGAAGGGCGTATCCTTTGTCAGTAGGTCGGTCAGTGGTGCTGCTATCTTAGCGTAATGAGGCACGAACCTGTTGCGGTAGTTGGCGAAGCCTAGGAACTGCTGCAACTCCTTCACGTTCTCCGGTACTTTCCACTTCTTGACGGCTTCGATTTTCCGCGGGTCCACGTGTACGCCCTCCGCACTCACCACGTGCCCGAGAAACTGCACATTCTTCGAGGCGAAGTCACTCTTTGACAGCTTCACGTAGAACATGTTTTTCCGCAGGAACTCGAACACCTTCTGTAGATTCTCCACGTGCTCCTTCATGTTCTTGGAGTAGATGAGGATATCGTCCAGGTACACCACTACGCACTCGTCCAGCAGAGACGGATATGGTTCATCTCCGCCTGGAACATTGCTGGTGCGTTGCTGAGTCTGAATGGCATCACCAAGTATTCGTAGGAGCCGTATCTCGTACGGAACGCTGTCTTGTGGACCGAGTTGTCCGCCACCACGCAGTTGGTCTAGTAGATACTTATTTTTGACTGTCTGTTTGTTCAGTGCGTGGTAGTCGATGCACATCCGTAAAGTGCCGTCTGGTTTTGGGGCGAAAAGAACTGGTGCACTGTAGGGAGAGGTGGATGGGCGGATCAGTTGTCTGTCCAGTAAATATTCTATCTGCTTCTTCATGTCTGTCAGTTCTGTTAGACTCAGTCGGTATGGTGCACGTGAGACGGGTTTCGCACCTGGTTCCTCCACGATCTCGTGCTCATGGGTGCGTGCTGGAGGTACGCCTGCGGGTAGGTTGTCAGGCATTATATCCTTGTACTGCTCCAAGACCTCCTTCACTGCTGCAGGAAGCTCCGAACTCGGCTTCTCCTCCTCTGCTGCTGCCATGACCAGTGCTAGGTAACCCGTGTTACTCTCGTTCACCGTCCGTTCAAACTGTGCCATTGTCGTTTCAGGAACATCCCCTGTATCCGTCCAGCTTCGTAGCTCTATCCGCTTTCCGTTATTGTAGATGCACACTTTACTGTTGACCCAATCGATCTCGGGGTTGAACCGCTTCAGGAAATCTCGCCCAAAAGGAAATCTAACCCTTTGATGTTGGTGACTGGTAGCTTCGGCTTCCCCCCCAACGTACCTACATGCAGCTGCAGAGATGCTTCGCCGTGGATGGGAAGCTTTGTACCATCCACCATCGTTGCAGAGAATTGGGTGTCCTCCGCCTTCTCTGAGAATTGGGCGGCGTCCCTCCTTGCCAGCTTCGGTGGCTACCACGTACTCCGACTCGATTCACGACAACGTCGTGCACTTGATGCGCTGGCTCGACCAGGAGACTGCGGCTCCTCCGTAGACGAACACGTAGCCGCCTGTTCTCGTCCGGTTCTGCTCGTCGGCGTCCACATAGCCGACCTGCTTCAGCGACGCAGGTCCACCGCCAAACTCCTGGGCGGTGTCAAGTGTATTCGCGAGGTAGGCAAGGCAGCGGTCAACCTCGCGCCAGTGCTGGTCGCTCCTCACCGTGAGGCCGCTCCACAGCTTGCTGTAGGTGAAGGCGATGTCCCGCCTTATCGTCGTCGCCGCGAACTGCAGCGAGCCAACCTTCTGCCGGTACTCCTCCTCCTGGTGCTCTTGTGCCTCCTCATCGTCGAATATCAGCTCAGCGTAGGCGTTGACGTAGACAGAAGTTTTCGGGGTGTGCCCAGTCTGCTCCTCGTCGATGAACCGCCTGCGCAGCTTGTCGGCGTAGCCTTGCTGGTACAGCCACAGCTTCCTCGCACACATGTCGCGCATGACCTCCAGCCCGAGGTACTTCCCCACCGGCGAGATCTCTCGTAGCTCAAAAGAGGGCTACAACAGCTCCTTCAGCTCCTTCAGCATCGCTGTGCTGCTGCTGGCGGCGAGCAGGTCGTCGACGTAGACCAGCACCCAGCAGGCCACTCCGTTGCTGCCGACCTTGAAGTAGAGCACTTGGTCGACCTGGATCTTCTTCCTGCCAGCGTCCATCAGCACGTCGTCGAGCGCCTTGTATTAAAACAGCGGCGACTGCTTCAGCCCGTACAGGCTCTTCAACAGCTTGCACACCCGGCCGGTCCCGTCGTTGTAGTAGTCCGGCTGGTACATGTACAGCACCCTGTCGGGCTTCCTCTGCAGGAAGGCGTTCTTCATGTCGAGCTGCATCAGGTTGAGGTCGAGGACGGTGACGATGCTCACCGGCGCGTACGCCTCGTCGTAGTTGGTGCCATACACCTTCGTCCCTTCACGACCAGCCTCGCCTTCTCGCACTCAACAGTGTCGTCGATGCGGAACTTCTTCATGAGCACCCACCAGTTTTTCATAATGTCCATCCTGAGGAGCCGCCCGACCAGCACCCACGTGCCCATGCCGACAAGACTTCGGATTTCCTCGTCCATGGCGGTCTTCACCGCCTTGCGCTTCCAACTCGCTAGTGACTCCTTTACCGTCATCGTCGCGATGTCCCAACGGTGCTCGGGATCGGCGTGCATGTCGGGGTCGAGCTCCGACAAGGCGTCGTCGTCGTTGTCGTACTGCGTGGTGTAGGCAGCCGGCAGCAAGCACGCGTGGTAGGACAGGAAGTCAGGCGGCCTCTGGGCTCTGCCCGAACGCCGTGGTCCAGGCTGAACCTCCATTACATCACCGTCGGTGGACTTCTCAGTGCCCAACTGCTCCCCTCCATCGTCACCGGCGTCGCTGCCCTCGACGTCCTGCTGCATTACAATCGGCGGCCCCGCCGACTTCTCCCCTGCCATCAGCTTCCCTGCCGATTGTCCGGTCGCCGAATGCTCCTTAGTCGGCTTCACTGCTGGCTGCTCCCCTGTCTGCTGCTCCTTTGTGGACTCCTTCTTTACCGACTTCAGCAAAGTCGGTTGCTTCATCTCCACCCGCTGCTCCCCTGTCGTTGGCGGATTCTCTCCCACGCCGACCTCTCAAGGTAGTTGCTGTTGGTGTAAGGGCCTAATAAACTCAAGCTATTAGGACTTAATCAAACTTAAAACCTCTCCTCGGGGTCACCTCCAAGGGTCCCTGGGTGCCTGGTACAAGACCAGCCCCTATCCTCGGGTCCGAGTTTGTAGAGAGAGGGATCAAGAAGGACTTAGTCAAAACAGCAAGAGCACCTTGAACGTCGCGCAGCGTGCCGTGCAGACCGTCGGTCGGATTAAGCTGAGAATTCGCTATATCGAAGCTCGCTCCAGGAGCTTTAAAATGAGCCAAGTTGCCTCGCGAAAAGTTCTGCCATTACTAAGTTATGGCTCGGACAGCGTTTGCCTAGCGTTGGAATGCTAGCATACTAGCGTTGACTCGGGTAGCATTCCGCCGTCGAATAGCGCAGAAACGAAATTCCAGCGAGGAAGGAATTCGCTTGAATCAATTTTACTATGTTCAGGTACAAACAGAGAAGGATTAAATAGTTCTAGCTAGCAAGGACCTTGGGAATCAACCTGGGAACAACCAGGGATGATCCCAAATAATTCCAAGCAACAGAACCAACCTGGCTGGACAAAATAGCAGGTGGTAGGTTGGTAAACAACCTCTGGTTCTGTTTTTCCAACCTGGGAAAACAACAACCAGGTTCAGGTTCTAAAAACAGAACCTGTTTTGTCTTTGCCCAACCAGCCAAATGCTGGTTCCGCTGGTTTCCCCTGGCCTTGTAGCATGCAGATACAGACAAACAACATCCAACCTTCACCTAAATTGTACCCCTATAGTGCCTTCCCTGCTACACTATAGTTAACCAAACAAAACAGTACAATTTCGAGTTGGATAGAACTGAATCTGCGCAATCAACTCAACCGAACTGCAAAGCTTCCATCTTGGGTTCCTTTGCGAGCTCGTCCTTTCTGCTTGCACTGTTCATAGCGCATACAATGTTGTGCCGAAGCGCACATTGCGCGAGTACCTGCAAATGCATCAAGCGAAAAATGCGAAAGCAAACAAACACACGAACACACCATTCACACACAAATGCATTCGCACACGCATACTCGTACAAACAGACGGCAGGATGTCGTGCAATGTAAATTTGCACCCAACAGTTGCGGACCCAGACAGCCTGCCGCAGAGCGAGGTGCCACCAGTGGTGCTGGACGCGTATGTGCAGCAGCATCGTCCGCATCGACTCCACCACCGTCCTCATCTCCCGCTCCGCCATGCCATTCTGCCGCTGGGTGTAAGGGCAGGTCAAGTCGTGGACGATCCCCTTGCCATCCACGAAGGAGGTTGGTGAACTCCTTCCCGAGGAACTCCCCTCCCGGGTCAGAGCACAGCATCAGCACCGACTTCTTTGCCTGCAGCTCAACAACCATCAGCCACGTCTCGAACTCCCGCAGCTCGTCCAACTCCTTGGCAGCCACCCGGAACGCACAGGCCGATGTGCACAACGGCCAGCTTCCCGCCGACGCACGAGACACGCGGAGAGTCGGTGCCGATCGACGGTTTGATGTCCAGACCGGTGGCGACCTTTTGCTTCGCCGAGTTTGTGATGGTGTCAACGCCGACGTGTACAAGCTTGGCTTGCCACCGCGCCGGCGTCGACTTCGTCGCCGAGACTATCGCCCGCAGGGCCACCACCTCCGTCGTGGCCGTCATCGACTTCGCTGAGCAGGGACGCAGGTCAGTGCAGAGGATCCGGCCGGTGTAGGTTGCTCGACCGCGGACGTCCCCTGCCACCGAGATGAGCAGCATCCCGTCGCCGTCGTCCTTCAGCTTGATGCCGCTCTCCTTCAGCTGGCCGGCTGACAACAAGTTCGCCTTCACGCCCGGGATGAGCACCTGCTTCCCGACCTCCCCTTGCAGAGCGATTGTGCCACGGCCGTGAACGTCCTGCAGCGCCCCATTGAAGCCCCACACATGCTTGAAGTCGCCGCTCGGCTTCAAGTCGACGAAGACCTCCATCTCCATCGGGTGGTGCGAGCAGCCGCTGTCGAGCAGGACCACCGCCGGGTTTGCCTGCACAGCTGCCGCCATCGCCTGGAAGTCTCCGCCAGCCTCAGGCACCAGGGAGACGGTCGGCTCCACGACGCGGACTAGCGAGCATGACGCCTCATTGTTGCCTCGCCCTTTGCTTCCTGAGGAGGAGTCGGCGTCCTTCGCCGAGGTCGACGACTTGGTCGACTGCTACTCTTTGCACGGCTTACTCTCTTGACGATGACGGCGCCCTGTCGACCTTCCTCGGCCTCCCTCGGTGTCGTCGTCGTCGGAGTCACTGCGGTCGGGGCACTCGAAGGAGAGTTGGTCGGGGCTGTGACACAGCCAACACTTCCGAAGTCGACTTCGTCCTCTATGACCGCTGTCCTTGGCCGACTTCTTATTGTCAGCATCCTTCGCCGGCTTCCCACCTCCGCTTCCACCGCCGCCAGGCTGGCCACGCTGCCCCAGTTGACTTCCTTGCTTTGTCGGGGTGACGTAGATCGCCTGCGACATGAGCTCCGTGGACCTGTCGGCCTCCTGCATCGCCTCGTCCCTGAGGATATAGGAGGTCAGGGAGTCCTCGTTGAGCGACTCCCGTGTGCACAGAACCACCATCAGCCGCTTCATAAGGTTGTAACCACTCGGGAGCCCCTTTAGGACGTGCGTGACTTAGGACGTCGTCGAATACAGCACGCCGGTCATACACATGACGGCGAGAAGTCGCCGAGCCCGGTTGCAGTAGTCGGTCACCGTCTCCTGCTCATCCGCAGGTGCGTCATATGCTCCTCCAACTGGCCAATGTACAGGTTATCGGTGATCTGGTACTTCGACGTGATGAACTGCCACGCTTGCTGGCCGGCGTCCAAGTAGCTCCTGCACGACTCCAGGGCGATCTGCACGTCGGGCGAGCAGCACCGCGAGATGTCCGTCAAATTCAGCAGGTGCACAGCACGGAACTCCGCGCGCAGCTGGGCGTTGCTCGTAGGCGGCATCTCCATGCTGCCTTCGGCGAAGCACATCAAGCCAGCCTTCTCCAACTGAGGCTCGATTTCCTCCTTCCACGGGAGGAGGTCGTGGCGGCCGGCCAGCAAGGGGTTGACGGCGATCCTGTCCGGCGTGAACTTGATTCGTATTCTTCACATCACCCTGTTCGTCTGCAAGGCGGATGCCCCCGTGCCCGCTCTGCTGGTTTTTGGCTAAGGAATGTCTTTCCGACCTCCCAACAGTGGCGGCTATGGCGTCTACTACACGGAGTAAGCGCATGTAATAG